ACTGATACCTCGAGTAGGTTCTCAATTTTGTATGATTATCTGAGGTCTCGCAGACCTCGCGCACAGGGAATATCAGTCTGGAGACTATGAAAGGGCCGAGCATCACTGTAACCAGCTATGGCATCAAGAACCAGAGAACACTTCGACACTTTTACTCTTGAGCTCTATTCACTTTCAATGCCGTCGATTAGAAAAGTCAGCATACTTCAGCCAGCTCGCTATTAAACAGAATCCTGTTATGGCTGAGGCATATTCAAACCTCGGCAATGTTTACAAAGAGCGTGGCCAACTCAAGGAAGCAATTGACAACTATCGCCACGCATTGAGCATTAAACCAGATTTCATCGATGGCTACATCAATCTGGCTGCTGCTTTGGTTGCTGCCGGTGACATGGAATCTGCGGTCAATGCATATGCATCTGCGCTGCAGTACAATCCCGTAATTCTTATATTTATTATTTAACAACAGGACCTGTACTGCGTCAGAAGTGATTTGGGGAATCTTCTGAAGGCTTTAGGTCGATTGGATGAAGCCAAAGTAAGCTTCTATCGAGGTAGTCTAGCGCTGCTGCGTTGCCATGAAAAGGTCGCCCTTTTTTGCTTTTGTAACAGCCATGTGCTGGCGCGCTGCGTAGACCTTATTTTGGCAAATGTTTCAGGGCGCTTGCAGCCCAAGCCAGACTAATGGATGAGACTTTTTTCATTTGAACAGCCAAAGGAAGAGCGAAAGCGATTCATCTTCATGCGCCAGGCCTACGCTGCGGGTATCTGAGTAGTGAGTTAAAATCCCCACGCGCGCGCGTCCTTTGTCCATCCTATGGCACATAAATTTACCACAATCTAGGCCTAAGCGATCGCAGTTTTGCGCTGGCCAGGTGCTGCATGTCTGTCGCAATTTTTTGCTGCGCGCGCGCTTCATCTTGTATTTCAGTATCTAACCCTTATTTGTATTTTCAGTCATGCTATCTAAAGGCTATAGAAACTTGTCCCACATTTGCTGTTGCCTGGAGTAATCTCGGTTGTGTCTTCAATGCACAGAACGAAGTGTGGCTTGCTATCCACCATTTTGAAAAGGTTTGTTGTTTTATTTCTCATGCTATTAGGCTGTGACTCTCGATTCATCCTTCCTTGATGCATATGTCAACCTTGGAAATGTACTTAAGGAAGCAAGAATATTTGATCGTGCGGTAGCTGCCTACCTCAGAGCACTGACGTTGGCTCCAAACAATGCTGTTGTCCATGGGAATCTGGCGTGTGTTTATTATGAACAGAATCTGATAGACCTCGCTATAGATACGTACAAGAGAGCCATTGAGCTTCAACCTAATTTCCCAGATGCCTATTGCAATTTAGCAAATGCTCTGAAAGAGAAGGGGAAAGTGAACGAGGCAGAAGAGTATTACAATACTGCACTTCGCCTCTGCCCTACCCATGCGGATTCCCTAAATAACCTTGCAAACATTAAACGCGAGCAGGGTAAAGCGGAGGAGGCAATCCGCCTCTATGTACGCGCCCTGGAAATCTATCCCGAGTTCGCTGTTGCTCATTCTAATCTGGCGAGCATGTTGCAATTGCAGGGCAAGCTCCAGGAGGCCTTGTGCCATTACAGAGAAGCAATAAGGATTTCTCCCACTTTTGCCGATGCTTATTCAAACATGGGTAACACCCTTAAAGAGCTACAAGACATACAGGGGGCTATGCATTGCTACCAGCGCGCTATTCAAATTAATCCCGCCTTTGCTGATGCCCACTCAAATCTCGCGAGCATACTGAAAGATGCTGGCAATCTGTTGGAAGCCATAAGCTCCTATAAAACTGCCCTAAAGCTGAAGCCCAATTTTCCCGATGCCTTTTGCAATTTAGCTCATTGTATGCAGATTGTCTGTGATTGGACTGATTATAAGAGTCGGATGAAGAAACTCGTTTCAATCATTCACGATCAATTGGCTTCGAATCGTCTACCTTCAGTGCATCCGCATCACTCAATGTTGTATCCCTTGACACATGACCAAAGGAAAAGAATCGCCGGGAAACACGCTTCTCTATGTTTGGAAAAAGTCTCGTTACTTCACCATCCTCCTTATCGTCATCCTAAAAAGCTTCAGCCTGGTCAGAGGTTGAAGATTGGTTATGTGAGCTCGGATTTTTGCAACCACCCCACCAGTCATTTGATGCAGAGCATCCCAGGTCTTCATGATCGCTCAAGATTTGAAATATTCTGCTATTCTCTTGCCTCTGATGATGGGACCAACTTCCGAGCCAAAGTTTCCCGGGAGGCCGAGCATTTCGTTGATCTAAGTGGAGTTAGTTGTCACGGTAGAGCCGCGGACAAGATCGCCTCTGACGGCATCCACATACTCCTCAACATGAACGGTTACACTAAGGGTGCGAGAAATGAACTTTTCGCATTGAAGCCGGCTGCACTCCAAGCGATGTGGCTGGGTTACCCTGGTACAAGTGGGTCTACTTTTATGGATTACATCATCACTGATGCGGTCACATCACCCATGAGTCTTGTTGAACAATATTCAGAAAAACTCGCCTATATGCCAAAAACGTTCTTCGTAGGCGACCACGCTCAAATGTTTCCCCATCTCCGAAATCGTCTCGTGCTGGAGTGCTCAGATTCATCCCAAAGTCCTAAGGGGATGCTAGATAATTCTATGGTATTTTCTGGTCAAAACATTCAAGCTTTAGCA